CTTGCAGCCTAACACGACCATCAACCGATGGATCACGGGTATCCTTTTATTTTCATTCAAACTCGTTCATGTATCCGCGCAAAAGCATAAAGGCGTTGATGGTCTCTCAAGGAGACCAGTCGCCGAGGAAGACCCCATAGAGGACAATAATCATGAGGATTGGATTGATCGTGCATACTCGTTCGCTATCGCGCTTTTGAACAATTGCACGCATCGTATAGCTGGTGGTTCGGGTGACATACGCCACGAAGCGCATCACACATGTTTCATCTCGCAGAGCGCGCGCGTACCAGCGTTGCACGTATACTTTGATGTCGCGCAGACGGAAGAACCAGAACCAGATATCCCACGCTCGGATGCGGCGCGCGCGCAAGACGCGCTGATGACCACTATAGAACAGTTTCTTACCACGCGTGAAAGACCCACTGACGTTTCAGATGAAGAATTCGAGAAGTTCGTGAACAACGCGGCGCATTATTTCGTTCTGGAAGGCAACCTATGGTGCAGAGCATCGCACGGCAAACATCAACTTGTGTTACCTCCAAACAAGCGCTATCGCGTTCTCAAGGAGGCGCATGACGACTTAGGGCACAAGGGTATCTATACAGTCAGCGCGCGCCTATGGCTACGCTTTTGGTGGCCGCGCATCATCGAAGACATCAAATGGTACGGACAAACGTGTCACGAATGCCAAGTTCACCAAACGAGGAGGCTGCATATTCCTCCAATCGTCCCCATACCAGGAGGTCTATTTCGCAAAGCGCACATCGACACGATGAAGATGCCCAGAGCGGGCGGATATGAATACCTCGTGCAAGCGCGATGCGCGCTAACGTCGTATCCGGAATGGTGCATGCTGCGCAAAGAGAATACTAACGCACTAACCGCTTTTATTTTCGAGGAGCTCTTGTGTAGGTGGGGCCCGATCACAGAGATAGTGACGGACAACGCGCCCGCATATAGGCTCGCAGTAGACGAGCTCGCGCGCAAATACGGGATTCACCTGATCCGCATCTCGCCATATAATTCTCAGGCAAACGGTATAGTCGAAAGACGACACCGCGATGTCCGGGAGGCCATCATTAAAAGCTGCGACGGAGATGATTCTCGCTGGTATCAGGTAGTTCATTCAGTTTTCTGGGCCGAGCGCGTCACCATTCATAAAGCGACGGGTTTATCGCCCTATTTCATGATGCATGGCATTGAGCCAATATTTCCCTTTGATCTTGCAGAAGCGACGTTCCTCGCGCCCTTACCAAATCGAGGCGCGTTCACCACCACTGACCTTATAGCATGGCGCACACGCCAATTGCAGAAGCGCGTAGAGGATATAAATGCGATTAGGGATAAAGTAGTCGCGGCGTGCTACAAGTCCATACGCGATTTTGAGAGACGCTTCTGTGCGTCTATCAAATCGCACGACTTCGAACCCGGCGCCTTAGTATTGGTACGCAACTCGAAGGTCGAATACGAGCTGAGCAAGAAGACGAAGCCACGCTATTTGGGACCTATGATCATAGTGCGTCGCACAAAGGGAGGCTCATATATGTTGGCCGAGTTGGACAGCGCAATATCAAAACTTCGGTTCGCCGCATTTCGCGTCATTCCTTACTACCCGCGTAGCGAGGAGCGCGTATCAGTAACCCAAATGACTGGAGTAGACGACGAGAGTATCGACGAACTAGAAGCGTATGAAACTGTAGAACCCGATGAAGATGAGCCCGAGCGCGCGCAAGACGATTAGCGCGCGCGACCATATTCCGCGCGCCCGCGCATCACCCAATCATATTCGCGCGAACGTGCATCCCTCAAAAACATAAAAACAAAAACACCAGATAATACGAAGAACACAAAAATATTTCATTAAGTACATACTCTCAGTTTTACCCCGGGTTTCATCCGGTGATATCTCTCATATCATTTGTTCATATAACGCGCATTGCCTGCACATAAACCCCACAGACTCTAGAATATATCAAATGCACCAAGAAACGCGCTAATACCCCGCAAGTACATACTGATCACTATCTTAATTGTATAGCGCGCGCATAATCACCTCATTAGACTTTCACTTTCTAACGTGCGCGCGGCGCCGCGCACTTTTTTTTCTACCTTTCATTCAAGCGCGCGCGCGTCATCGCCTCGGCGCGCACAGCGCAACACGGCAGGAATAGATGATGGAAGGCGCGCGAAGAAGACAAGACGGGCGCGCACCCCGCAGAAAATCAGTAAAGTCCATTGCATTACCTTGATCTCGTCGCGCGCTTGTCATTTACTTACATACTATTCATTTTAATTTCTTAAGCCCAGTGAATCAGATAAGGACATGGACATGGACAAGGCAACACAAGATATATTGTACAGGCGCATTGGCGCTCAGAAGGAGTACACAGGCGCATTGGTGCCTAGGAGACAAGAAAAACAAAAGAGAGGTGCATCTACTTAAGGGAGTCGTTGATCTGCCTCTCCAATTCAGCCCACGCATTGGACATGGCGAAAAACTTGTTGGAATAGTTGAGGAGATCCGCCTGTTGGGCGCACGCATACTGGCACATCTGGAGAGTGGAAGTGCGCAAGTGCGCATTTTCCTCCTTCAAACGCGTGGATTCCGCGCGTGCCTCTTTCAACTCCACCGCTGGATCCTTGAACTTGTCCTTTCCCTTAGGCGCAGAACCAGATGCCAAAGGACCAATGGCGCGCACAGGAATATCGCGCGAGGTGCGCACGACCTTCTCCTCCACAGAGCGCTCTCCAACAATCTCCACATCCATCCCCGACTCCTCAGATTCTTCTTCATCCTCAACCGCAATAGAGGAAGCAGTTTCCTTTGCAGACTCTGCGATAGGGCGCTTGGGCATCGGTTTGCGCAGGCGCGCCTTAGGCGCATCAGTAAGGTTGCGCTTAGCTAATCCACAGCAGTCAGTGGCGCGCGCCAATAATAAGACAAGAGGCGCGACTTACAGAAAGTGCAAGCGCGCTTGGACACATCGCAAGGAGGGCACCGGCGACCAGGCGCGCCTCCACAGTCAATGTCCTTGGCAATGCAGGCGCCACAGTGCCGCGCCTTGTTCACAGACATGCGCCCGGCGCGCAGCTAGCGCAACCAAACATGTTAATAGAGTGGCGTGCCAACAGGAAACAGAAGGCGCACCTTCTTGCTGGCATCAGTACCAGACACGTCAGTGGCGCGCACCTCGATTTCGGACGCGCCAGTGGCGTGCGCAGCTTGCATGGGAGGCATCTGAGGAACTGACGCAATCGCCTTCGCCTTCCAATCCTTCACGACCGCCTCAATCTCCTTACAACTCTTCCGCCCCTGCTTTAACAACTCTGCGCTTTTGTCGTCCATCTCCAGCGCCACCGCCAACACACCTGCGCGCGTAGAACAACCGTTCAGAGTAGCCTAGGAGTGTCAGTCCACAACCAAGACCAATACATGTAAGCGCACTCACCAGTACTGAATACCACTCGCGCAACCACATCTCTTGATCCTCGAGGAGTTCCAGCTTGAGTTCAGGCGCGGACATCACGCATCCTTCCAGGGAGACTAGGATGGAGGCCCAAGTGGTGAAGAGGCGGTCGGTATTGGATTCCGCGCTAGCGTCGCCCATAGGCGCGTCCTCAGGAAGCCCTTGCACCACTGGAACAGGCTCAGGGGAAGGAGTAGAGTTCAACATAGCAACAGTGAAAGTAGGCATGGTGAAAGATTGATAACAAAGAAGTCAAGAGATCGCGAGAATGCATCCATCTTCTTATCAACATCTCCTCCGATTACATCATCGATGCTCGCGATCATCAAAGGATGGCCCTACTCTCGCGATCACCTGATCCCTGTCTATCACCACCTCTCTAAGTCCAAGATCCCGCGCTATACATAGCACTGAGTGGGGACACTCAGAATGTAAGTCCCCAGGAGATGTAGAGACTCGCGCGTCTCAATGCTGAATATACAGCCTTTACCCATACATTCCTATATGTTACAGCTCTACTCCTAAGTACCAGTCTCGCGCGCACTCGCACGCGCCTTATCCGAACTCGCGCGCACTTAGGCGCGCCTTACCTACGCACGCGCGCCTCCTCATAGGTCTTCGCGCTATCATCCGTCCATCCGTCCCATGTCCTTACTGGTTCGCTGGTGCGTTATTTCTATCTTATCCATTGAACTAATAAAATCTTCGGTCCAACGTCCGCGCTACTTATAGAAAGTTTATTTAAACTTAGTCATAATTAGAGTTGATATGGTTACTCGGTTCGGGAGCACGCTCGGAAGCGCGCCATCTCCATTCTTAAATACAGAAGGGTTTCCTTTGGTTCTGGTACTTACTTTCCCCTTATCTTTGTGTACTGGAAAGTGTATAGATCACCTCCTCACTTGTTATAAGATCTTATTCTCCTGTCAATCATCCATCTGGGCATTCACTCCTCAATAGGACCTTTCCCTTAACGCTCAAGGCGCGCCTTCGCTTTGCGCGCGCGCATTCTCGAACCTCCCGCTCACGTGTGCATCTCGCGCGCCTTTGCACGCGTTATCTTCTCGTGCCTGTTAGCGCCCGCCTAGCTCATAGAGTTTCCCTCCACTTTATTTCGAGGAACTTCTCTCAGTGGTTGTCCCTTGGGTCGAGTTGTTGTCTCGTATCCCGGTCTTGCTGTTGAGCACCCTTTTGTTTTAAGTGTTTTCACGTCTAGTCAAGATTCCTCATCTACACCGAGTATGACCAACTCTACCTAGTTTTTGAGGGTGTATGTATTGGTGACGAGAATATATACCCTAGCCACTATGCAAGTTCTTGGAGGAGGTGGAAGTTCCTTAGCTGGTGAGTAATCATTGCCTGTGCCACATGCTTTATTTGACTTCTTGCAGGTGATCCTGGCAAGGGCATATACTCCCGACTTTACACACATATCCTGAATCACTGCACTCAAATCGACCACTGTGCTTCCTTCTATCACATTTACTCCAGATTCTTTGCTGTTCGGCATTTTTGCTTCATTTGTCGTTAATGCTCCCAGTCAGAGACACTCCCGCACAAATGCAGCTCCACCTAGCCGATCAGCTTAGCCTGCTTATATACCAATCTGTCCACAACGTTGAACTTCAGCGTGCCAAGAATCAGCTCAAGTGGAGCCTGATGATGGCACTCAAGAGTCGGGCAGTGGAGGTGGAGGATCTTGGCTGGCAGGTATGACAAACTTTTAACTTAAACATGCCCGCATACTCACGTGTTAATCTAGTTGCTTGTCCATGGTCGGAGGATTCCTGTGACTGAAATGATTGCAGCCATAGACAAGGTGACTCCTGACTGCATGTGCCGCATCGCTACCAGACTATTCACACCTTCATCTGGAAACAAGGCCATAATTTTGATGATGCGATGCGGGGATATAAGGGTTGGAAGGCAATGCTTAACATATGGTGTTGCAGGAGCATGAAGGTCTGAACGCTTAGATCACTGCATATTTTCGGTATTCAATTTTAGCTGTAACAAATCGTTTTCAGCATACAAGGTGTGCCTTGACGAGACATTTTCAAGCAAAGTGGTGTCGATAAGCAATCCTAGCCATGGCACAAGCAAAACACTTGATTGTGATGACAGCTTCATTTGCAACAGTCTAGTTAACCCTCGGTATCATACTGACTTCATGACATACCTATGTCTCACAGTATCACTTACAAGATCGCTGCATAGTGTGGTTACAGTACACCTTGTGATTTGACTCAATCGCCCCACACAGGTCTCGGTCTCCAGCAGTAGCTCTATAAATTCAATAGCGTATCCTGCTCAATCAAGTTAACATTTAGTTGAGAACAATGAGAATGGTAGGTATGTGAAGGACATGCACGTACTAGTAGTGTGAGAGCTCCATCAAGCCTTAGGCCTCAGGCCTCATTGATCTTGCATGTCATTTAGGATGAGGTCACAAGAAAATAAACCAAAGGAGACAAGGAAAACCAATCCGCCAGATTGTCCTAGGATGCCAGGAGGACCGTTGCTGTCAGGTAATCAGAAAATCAATAATCAAGGACAAGGTTCCCAAAAGGAAATAATAGTTCGCGCTAGGTGCTTTTGGCTCTTACGTTCTCATTGTTCACACAATCAACAAGCAATTATTATTGTTTGTAAGTTGGAAGTCATGGTATGTTCCAATATTGCGCTTTCTGACGCTGTACAGTCCTCAGGCCTCAGGTTGCTGTTATGTTCTGGGCAACTCAACACTCTCAACAGTACATAGCGGGGCTGCTGGACCATACTTTTGGAATCTGGCCGACGCAACTGCCACGGTATGCTGAGCCGGTAATGCTGTGAGTATGGATTTATACATTAAGTTCTTAAGTTCAATGTCATTTTTATTATATAGTACGAATGGATGTGAAGATTACTTGGTACCTATGAGGCGAATCGATGACCCTGCGTTGGTGACCTTCGCTCCTAGAAATATTGTCAGTTTGACCATTATCAACAGGCCCGGATTGTATGGGAGTGGTTGGGAGGAGTTGGTACATCCCTTGGGGGGGACATATTACTATCATACTAAAAAGGCGAGCACTGGCCGATTGTACAAGCGATGTATTTACTAACCTAAATTTTAGAACACATACACGTCGATAAATATACGCTATATCGATTGACGAGGGCTTGAAGATTTCATCAATGTATCAAGAGCCGCAGTGAAAGAGGATGAATGGGTACTGATTGTTCACCAAATGACCTACAGGGGAGAAGATGTATATCAATACTACTATGTGGTCCACTCTCTGCGCATCATTACCTGGCTCAAGGATCTGAACGGCTACCTTCTTTTTTGAGAGTGTATTCAGGCAAACGAATGGAGGCATAAAAGTACGTTTTTATGCAATTACTTGTTCTTTTACTCCATTGTATTATACAGGGCTCGAACTTGAAGCTCAGTATTGGTGAGCGGTCGACGAATATTGTCTCACTTATTTTTATGTTTCACTGTTTGGCAGGAGACATGTAGAATTTTTTCCACACAAGTTCCACATGACAAGCTCACAAGTGAGATGCGCACGCAGAGAAATTCTTTGTTACCTTGGAGGTAAGCCCTATATTACTGCAATGACAACCGGAATCACCTGAATGCACAATATAAGCGACAACTTTGAACCAGTCTACTGCAGCTATGATTTTCTGGACTATAGACCAAATGAGACAGGTTGACGCACAACTTGCCAGTGTTGGTATGTGCCCATGTCTTGTATGTCACAACATCGTGATGACCAAGAAATAGAAGCCCTTGCAGAAAACAGAATCATTGAGGATACTGGCATCGTGCTTTGTTGTACGTGAGTTCGGCCAAACCGACCAATTCGGATACTAATCTCCCAACTCATAGGTAGAATCCTGTACATGCTACATATGTCTATCCTTCATAAATCGGATGTCACTAAGCCAACACAATATAGGCCACTACCAGTATCTGAACCACCACAACCAACCCGAAGCTCGCCTCATTCGTGGTCATGCAGTGATAGAGAAACGCAGGACATGCAAAGCTCTCTATTTCATGGGTAATGCAGCGGCTACAATACTGTGTATGCCAATCACAATTGACCACATCAGGAGTACTTCTGTTAATGGTATTGTGAATGATGTGGACGTCAGGGCTTTCATCGACGATTTCAGCAGTCAAGCTAAGAGTCAGATCACTTTGGTAAGTGCTATGTCAGTGTCACACATATTTCTCGTACCTCATCAGCTCTGACAGGCAGGTGTCTCTGTGGCCATGGACGTCGCCATCCTTGCCATTCCAGGTCTAGGAACGACCGAAACTTCACGGATGCTTTGCTCCTGCTCCTTACTTTTAGGTGTTGGCTGCATTTTTGCCGCTACAATGGTGCAACACTTTGGGGAGAGAATGAGATCCATTGACTTCGCGGTTCAATTCACGTCATATTACTGCAGCCTGACCTTGACCTTGCTTATTGAACAGGTATATTACCTACAAAGGAAGACCATGATGCTGATCGTCATTACAAGTATACCGACTTGCTTTTGCGTACTAAGGTCAATCAACTTTGATTATGATTGTCTGCATCACTCATAGAATTTCCACTAGTGTAATAAGTTCCATCTTTGGATTTCTCGCAGGTGTTGCTGCTGACTTCAAGCCATCCACACCCTTAATGATTGCATGTTTTACTACGCTCGGCGTAGTGATAGGTTCTTTACTTGTATTGGTGATTGCAAGTTATGGTCCAGGCTTGTCCAGGACATGGCCCCAGTGACCAGCGATAATTATTTTGGAGGGTATTTTACAAAGTATTGCAGAGCCAGAATGGAACATGCTGCGGCACACGTAGGACTGACTCATACATCCGTCATGAACTGTCCTTCTAAGTCTAGTTTCGACAGGGTGAGCCCCTTCAGTGACAAATTCCGTATTATACGGGCCACCCGACCTCCATAATATCCCGTATGAGACGGGCCAGCTGATCATGGGCCCATGTTGTGTATATTCTCGATGATGACGGATGGGCCGGGACACATATTATTTCTGATGGAGACGGGTGGGCTCATGTATGCCAATGATATATATATCCTTAATGTTGACGGATGGGCCAGGGGAATATGATCATTCATGGAGATGGGTGGGCCCATCTGGGTAATATGTAGAGTAGGATATTATAGACAGCTGGGCTGAAGAGAGATGTAAGGCAAATATTGTTATATAGACGGGCGGGCCGACGTGGGTGTATTACATATATGGGTGGGCCGAGGTAGGGAAATATTACATAGACGGGTGGGCTGACGTAGGGTGTATTACATATACAGGTGGGCCGACGTGGAATGTATTACATATACGGGTGGGCCGACGAAAGGGATATCAAATAGACCGGTGGGCCGAGGGTGCTATAAAATATTTATTACATAGACAGGTGGGCCGAGGTGGGGTATAATTATATAGACGGGTGGGCCAATGCAGGATGTATTATATAGACGGGTGGGCCAACATAGGATGTATTACATAGATGGGTCGGCCGACGTGGGGGATAATACATAGATGGGCGGGCCGACGGGGGTGTATTACATATATGGGTGAGCCTAGATATGTTCCATCAAGACATACAGCTGATGTAGCCACCAGCGAATCAAACACATAGGATACATGTACACTATGAGTGCATATACCTACCATCAACCACCAAATCTAAACCCCTAAGCACAAAAACATGAATCGATCATGTGTGGCATTGACCAATAATCCAGGACTGAAGTGGAAAAACCCCACACCTGAACCCTGGTGTGCAACAAATCCTATTTCTAAGCATGGACACCAGAAGCACAACACTCACAAAAATATATATGTCAAATTTTCAGTGCCAAACCCCAAACCGAGATGTACCAACCCCTGAAACCCGAAACCCAAGACTGCCGGGTCTCAGGTATCGGGTGTCCGGAACTCGGAACTTGGGAGAATTTGGGGAGATCAATACAATTTAATTTACAATCGAGTTGATTGACAACACATTGACTTACCCATGTTTGCAATATATTTTTGTTTAGACATACCGAGTTCCGAGTTCCGGACACCCGAGACCCGAGACCCGAGACTGCCGGGTTTCAGGTGTCGAGTGTCCGGAACTTGGAACTTGGGAAAGTTTGGGGAGATCAATACAATTTGATTCACAATCAAGTTGATTGACAAACACATTGACTTAACTATGTTTGCAATATATTTTTGTTTAGACATACCGAGTTCCGAGTTCCGGACCCCCGGACCCCAAAACCTGAGACTGCCGGTGTAGAAACAACAATACTGTGAGGAGCAAAGATAGCTCCAGACTGTATCTATAAAAGTTGTAAGGTCGCGCGTTGCCTAGTCTGCGATACTTGAGATGGCAAGTGCATTCGACCCTAAAGGGGAAGCGAGTGCAGCCAAGATCTAGAGGTACGCGCTTCAGCGAAGCGCGAGAAAGCGCAGGTGCGCGCAAGGCGCGGGAACACGCGCGCGTATTAGCGCGAAGCGTGGGAAAGCGCGCGCGCGTATGCGGAAATGATAGATAGACTAGACTTAAGTGATAATATGATGCAAGAGATGTGAGAGCGCGAGATCTAAAGGAATAGGTTTCTACTATGTTCTCCTAAGTAGTAAGTAAGTAGTAATAGGTAAATGGGAGGTAAAGTAAGTTAAGGTGTAGTATGTACTGCTGGCGCTTATATAGCGCGCCTAAGCGCGGTCATGCGGAGCCGAAGCGCTACCGAGTAGGTATGTAAAAATATATATGAGTGAGAAACTATGATAAAAATAAAGGTGGAACTATGCTAATAAAGGAAATGGAAATATACGTACTAGGGAGCTTGGTGGACAGTGGATGGATGCATCTGGATGGCTGGCGCTATAGGGCGCGCAAGCGCGGGAACGCGCGCGCATACATCGTGAAGCGCGGGAATGGTGCGCGCATGGCGCGCGTTGCGCGGGAAAGCTGCGCCTCATATAGAGATAGCTGCGGGTAGCGCACAGAGTGACACTACAAGTTCATGCTACGTACTTCCTAGTGTAAAGCTGTCATATCAGACCATGAGACACACGAGTCTCTACACCGGGTCTCAGGTATCGGGTGTCCGGAACTCGGTATGTCTAAACAAAAATATATTGCAAACATAGTTAAGTCAATGTGTTTGTCAATCAACTTGATTGTGAATCAAATTGTATTGATCTCCCCAAACTTTCCCAAGTTCCGAGTTCCGGACACCCGACACCCGAAACCCGGCAGTCTCGGGTCTCGGGTATCGGGTGTCCGGAACTCGGAACTTGGTATGTCTAAACAAAAATATATTGCAAACATGATTAAGTCAATGTGTTGTCAATTAACTCGATTGTAAATTAAATTGTATTGATCTCCCCAAATTTCCCCCGAGTTCCGAGTTCCGGACACCCGATACCCGAGACTGCCGGGTGTCGGGTGTCGGGTGTCCAGAACTTGGAACTTGGGAAAATTTGGGGAGATCAATACAATTTGAGTCTCGGGTATCGGGTGTCTGGAACTCGGAACTCAGGGGAAATTTGGGGAGATCAATACAATTTGATTCACAATTGAGTTGATTGACAAACACATTGACTTACCCATGTTTGAAATATATTTTTGTTTACACATACTGAGTTCTGAGTTCTGGACCCCCCAACCCCAAAACCCGAGACCCAGCAGTCCACAATTCTGGGGTTCAGGGGTTGGCAAAATGTGTATGAATATATGAAAGGTTGAATGAAACATTTTTGAAAGATGTCTCATATCAAATGTTAAGTCCCGAGTTTCGAATTTTGGGTTTCAAGACTCCAGGTTTCGGGACTCGGCACTCCCGAAATCCAGAAGTTGAAACTCGGGATTTGACATTTGATATGAGACATCTTTCAAAAATGTTTCATTCAACCTTTCATATATTCATACACATTTTACCAACCCCCGAAACCCAGAATTGTGGACTGCCGGGTCTCGGGTTTCAGGGTTCGGAGGTCCGGAACCCGGAACTCGGAACTCAGTATGTGTAAACAAAAATATATTTCAAACATGGGTAAGTCAATGTGTTTGCCAATCAACTCAATTGTAAATCAAATTTTATTGATCTCCCCAAATCTCCCCAAGTTCCAAGTGCCGGGACCCCCGAACCCCGAGACTGCCGGGTCTCGGGGTTCGGGGGTCCGGAACTCGGAACTCGGTATGTAGAACAAAAATATATTTTAAACATGGGTAAATCAAATTTTATTGATCTCCCCAAATTTCCCGAGTTCCGAGTTCCAGGACCCCCGAACCCTGAGACCTGGCAGTCCACAATTTCGGGGTTCAGGGGTTGGTAAAATGTGCATGGATATATGAAAGGTTGATTGAAACATTTCTGAAAGATGTCTCATATCAAATGTCAAGTCCCGAGTTTTGATTTCCAGGTTTCAGGACTCCGGGTTTCGGGACTCCGGGCTTCAGGACTCAGCACTCTTGAAACCCGGAAATCGAAACTTGGGACTTGACATTTGATATGAGACATCTTTTAAAATGTTTAAACCAACCCTTCATATATCCATACACATTTTACCAACCCCCGAACTCCGAAATTGTGGACTGCCGGGTTTCGGGGGTCTGGGGTCCCGGAACTCGGAACTCGGAATTTGGTATGTAAGACAACAAAAATATCTTTCAGGGTTCAGGGGTTAGTGAAATGTTTATAGATATACGTAGATTAATTCAAACATGTCTGAAAAATTTCGTTCATCTCAAATGTCCAATCCTGAGTTCCGGACTTCGGGACTCAGCACCCGGCAGTCAGGGTTGGGGGTTCGGCACCCAAAATTTGACATTCGGGTGTTCAGGTTTTGGGTGATATCTAAATCAACAACTTCGAGTTCTGCCAAAGCGTGAAACTTGAAACCCAGTGTGCAACATGTTGATTTTTCATTTATATCACACAAATCATCGAGTTCTGAGTGCCGAGGGCTGAGACCCAAAGCCTGAGACCTGAAAATATGTACACAACATGTCCATTTTTCACTCACTGCACAAATCACCAAGTTTCAAGTGCCAAAGCGTGAAACTTGAAACCCAGTGTGCAACATGTCCATTTTTCATGTACATTACACAATTCATTGAGTTCCGAGTGCCGAGGGCCGAAACCCGAACCCCGAGACCTGAAAATATGTATGCAACATTTCCATTTTTCACTTGTTGCACAAATCACCGAGTTTCAAGTGCTGAAACCCGAAACTCGAAACCCGGTGTGCAACATGTTCATTGTTCATTTACATTACACAGATCATTGAGTGCCAAGGGCAGAATCCTAAAACCCGAAGCCCAAAAACATGTATGCCACATGCCCATCTACTCATTGCACAAATCACCAAGTGTCGAGTGCCGAAACCCGAAACCCGGTACTTCAAATCAGTAGTCGGGTACTTGGTACTTGGTCCTGATACTTGGTACCCGAGAATCAGTAGTCAGGTACTTGGTACTTGGTTCTAATTCTCGGTACCTGGGAATCAATAGTTGGGTACTCCAGCCAATAGTCCCGAGTCCCGAGTACTGATATTTGGT